CCAAAATTATAGAATTGAAGATATCATCATGAAATGAACAAATCTGAGAGAGGTCTACCCAAGGTACATATACACCAAGTATCAAAGCATTCAGGCTTGTAGTTTTCAAGAAGAAGTCGAAAAAGTAAAACATTGACACGGACGACAGACACCGGACGACGCCGGACGACGCCGGACAATCACTCATATGAGCTAAAAAAAGAGAATTGAAGTTTTTGTCATGAAATGAACAAATTCCACCCAAAGTACCTACTTGGTACCTACATTTCAAGAAGAAGTCAAAAATAGATTTATTCATCAAAATGAAAAACATATTGCACAATCAGCCGGTCGGCTGAGATAGCTCCACTGTTAGCAATGCACATTTCAATTAAAGAACAGAAGATATCATTAGAAAATGAACAATATGTATAGTATCAAAACAATCGGACTACTGCTTTTAACAAGAATTCAAAAATATCACTTTTTACCAAAAATGACAAAAATATACAGCAAAATTAGAGAATTGAATATATCATCATGAAATGAACAAATTTAAGAGAGGTCTACCCAAGGTACATATACACCAAGTATCAAAACATTCACGCTTGTAGTTTTCAAGAAGAAGTCGAAAAAGTAAAACATTGACACGGACGACGGCGGACAATCACTCATATGATAAGCTCCGCTCGACAAAGTAGACAGCGGAGCTAATAAAAGAGGTATATTCACTGAATTTTATTTTCATCCCTACAGCAAAAATAAAGTATTTTGTTTAGGCAACCACTAAAAACTTTTTTACAAAACCTAAAACACTGTTTGAATGTGTTCGAAAGTGTTATGGGCGTGCTCAAATGTGTTCCTTATTTGTAAAATTTGGGTCAATTTATGCAATTGAACCACACTTTAATTAATTATTTAAATTGAATCACATTAATTAACATCAATTAACTATTTAAATTGAACTACATTAATTAACTTTAATTAATTATTTAAAATGAACCACACTTTAGATCATCTACATCAACTGGCAAGTATTCTTGATGAATTAATTTTGATGGAGTATGAATAGTTTGCATATAATTAGCATATATGATTTGCATATAATTAGCATATATGATTTGCATATCAATGCCAAACTTAAAATTATTCAGTTTTTAATAGTTTTTTTCAAATCAAATCATTTACCAGTTGTTTCGGTTCCTTTCCTTGCATGACTGACTTGATTGTTTTGTCCAGAACGCCGCATTGTCCAGCTGTAAAAATATAAAATTAATAATGCAATTTATTACACCGAGAATACTCAATGTAAGATTTAATAGACCATTTTCCGTTCACTGCGAGAATCACGCGTTATGCGTGAAATCGAACGTAAAAACAGGACAAACAAAGGTCATAGCGTCGTAGTGGCGTCAAACATCGTGTGAGATCCGACAAACGCGAAAGTATTTTGGGGGACATTTTCATGTCAATAATGTGCTGTACACATTTGATGATAGGCAATTTCGATTAAGTAAGGGTATTCGGAAGCAATATTCCTCTGTCGAAGATCGGCCGGTCGATGTGAGCTACGAAATGAAGAAATTAGAGTTCAAAATCAAATCGTTTGATTTTTGCGGCAGACGTTCGACGCGCGTCTTTCATGCATCTCGCGAGATCTTGCAGTTGTACGGAAAATCACCTATTGCTACCATGCTCAAGATGCTAATTGATATGACAATGTCCCTGTTTTATAAGAGAGACAGGATATACCGTATTTATAAGAGCCCATGCCCGGGGAAATGCCCCCCCCCCACTTTTGATACAATAATAGGCGATTTTCCGTTCAACTGCGAGAACATGTGAGTTGCGATAAAGATGCGCGTCAAACGTCTGCCACAAAAATTTGATTTGATTTTGAACTCGAATTTCTTTATTTTGTAGCTCATATCGACCGGCCGATCTTCAGCAGAGAAATATTGCTTTCGAATACCCATACTTAATCGAAATTGCCTATCATCAAATGTGTACAGCCCATTATTAAGCATGGAAATGTCCTCCAAAATACTTCGCGTTTGTCGAATCCCACGCGATGTTTGACGCGACTACGACACTATGACCTTTGTTTGTCCTGTTTTTACAGTCGATTTCATGCATAACGCATGATTCTCGCAGTGTACGGAAAATTGAGATAATTATTGGGCATACGCTCAGGGGGTCTTTTTCTACACATAAAATAACAAAAAACCTATTTTCTATTCATTGACCTGTGGTTGTATTAATAATTGACTTTCTTGCAGTCTGTTGTGATGCATGATGCTGATAAACATTCTTTAAAAATAATTGTTAATTACATCAAAGAAGGGGTGAACTCGAAATAGGTGTGACAGCAAAATAGGTAATTTCGTGTTCTGCCTTCACGGCAGCGTGTTCAACGCTGATTTGAATTTATTTTTCAAGATTTTTTATTAGAATCATAACAGTCAGCAAGTCTACAAAAATGTATATTAAAGCAGAAACGATAGTTCTCTTTTTGAAATATGTTGTGGCCCTAAAATAGGCCGGTCGTTTGGTTTGTGCTTCCTAAAAAATGATTCAAGCAAATTTTACAGTTTATGGAGAGCTGCGAAACAAGTGTCGCACTCAGTCGGCCCTAGCGTCATCGACAATGAAACCAAGGTTGCAATATTGTAGCAGCCCGTACGAGGGAGAGTGGTTGAAATCACGTTATTTTGGCTTTATAAATATTTTGTAGCAGTTTGCGAATCCGTAACTGGGGCCAGCAATTTTGCAATGTCACGCTGAAGACTGCCAACTTTTTTACCATTTTTCATCACAGCTATTACATTTCTGTGTTGAAAATTATTCTTGTGTCGTTGGAGAAAAAAAAAACTTTCCAACCGCTGAAACTTGCTGAATGAAAACTTTCACCATGATTGATAAGCGTCTTGTCTGATAAGAAAGCAATGTTGATTTGACCTCTATGATGAAACACGAGTAGTGATGTCATTTTTAGCCAATCAGTAAAGCAGATGCTTAAAGGTCATAGATGATTGCCAGACTGTAAACAAAAGCATCGTGTGCCATCATAGCAGAGCGACCCAATTTTTCTTGTCTCTTTATTGTGATTAGACATGAATAAAAAGTGCCAAGCTGACACACTGCGAAATCAGTGGATTAAAAGCGCTAAGTCCAAATTGTGTGGGACGATATCGACAAACTTCAGGAAGAAGTTGTAGGGATTTTGTTCGTCAGCTACAGTGATGCCGACTTGGACTTTGAGGGTTTTGACTTTTTCGAAGATGGCAATGAACAAACAAATAAAGATCTGAGAAGTTTTTTTCAAACAGCTATGAATTTTTATAATTTTTACTCTGTAAATTTGTAAATTATTATTGATCTTATATGACAGTTGATTCGTAATTTGTCGAGACCGGAAATCATTTTACGCAGTTTAACCCCTGACATTTTAATTCATTTTGAGTTCACGGTCGAGTTTGTCGGCGGGAAAATCCTAATTCAAATGATGTCAATTTTTTATTATTTCTGGTTTATTTGTCACATTATAAGCAATACATTATTTTGTTTTACTTC